TGTATGAAATGGCGGGTCTTCTGGCCTGGCCTTTACAAAATGTTTGAAAAGTTTTGTGCCGCATGCCCCAAGTGTCAAAAGACAGGAAGCATAAAACCTACTAGGGTACCCCTAATATTCATGCCCCTGGCAGGGCTCCCATTCAACCGGATTGCCCTGGATGTGGCAGGGCCGTGCCCCGGGAGCAGACCAGTTTATTTTGGTGATCATTGACTGTGCTACCCACTTTCCTGAAGCAGTGCCCCTAAGATCAGTAACAGCTACGGTAATAGCAGGGGCCCTCCTGAAGTGGATTGCATGGGTAGGCATTCCCTGTGAGATCCTTACTGATCAAGGGAAGAATTTTATGTCTAAAATCCTAAAAGGAGTCTGCCAAGTTTTGAGGATTAAGCAATTATGTACCTCTATCACTCTCAGACAGATGGATTAGTAGAACAATTTAACTGCACCCTGAAGGGAATGATTCGGGCTTGCATCCAAGGGGATCCCTGGGAGTGGGATGCCATGATACCCCCTCTACTCTTCTCCGTAAGGGAGGCCCTGCAAGCCTCAACAGGGTATGCCCCGTTTGAATTAGTTTATGGTCATAGTCCATGGGGACTTCTTGATCTTATCTGTGAAGAATGGAAAAGAGAGGGTGGTGAGGTAGCTTTATCACAAGTGACGGCTGACTTCCGGGAACACCTGGAGAAAGCTCAAGAAATAGCTCAACAGAATCTGAGTCAATGCCAGGAGAGACAAAAGCAACATTATGACGTCCGGCCCACGGACAGAGAATTACAAGTAGGAGATTGGGTGTTAGTATTACTTCCTGATAACTCCCATAAGATCTTGTCCTGGCGGCAGGGACCCTTTCGGGTAACAAGACAGACAGGACCAGTCAACTATGAGTTTCTCTGAAACACGCCTACCCGAAGGAACCAGATTTACCACATCAACCTGTTACGGAGGTGGAGACAGCGAGACAGGTGGTTGATGAAGGAAGTGAATGAATTTGATGAAGAGGAGGTGTCGGTACCTCAGGGCCTAAAACTCTCCCAGAGAACCAGAAATTGATAACCAATTAAACATCCCACAACAAGAAGATGTGAAAGTCCTAGTACGAGAATTCCGTGACATGTTCAGGGAGATACCAGGTTTAGCTAAAGGCGTCCACCACCAAATCTTAACACCGCCGGGACAGTTGATACGTAATCACTGGACAAGGCTACCTCGTCACCTCTGGCCAACAGTAAAACAAGAGATCGACCAAATGAGGAAACTGGAAATCATCAAGGAGTCTAGAAGTCTGTGGAGAAGTCCGATGGTGGTGGTACCAAAAACAGATGGTTCGATATGCTTATGTATTGACTACCACAAGATTAATGAAATTGCTATATTTGATGACTTTCCAATGCCACAAGTGGATGACATGCTGGAGAAAATTGGTCAGGCCCAATATATATCCACCTTGGACCTGACCAAGGGTTATTGGCAGATTTATATGACAGTTGCTGATAAAGAAAAGATGGCCTTCAGCACTCCATGGGGCCTGTTCCAAGTTAGGTGAAAGCCATTTGGGCTCCAGGGGGCAGCTGCATCCTTCCAGCAGTTGATGGAACAGGTATTAGCACCACATCAGACGTATGCCACAGCATACATGGATGATATCATCATTTTCTCACAGGACTGGGAGACGCACCATCAACACCTATGTCAGGTACTGAAGGAACTGAGGCAGGCAGTGCTCACGGCCAATCCCAGGAAGCGCGCACTCGGAAAGAGAGAGACTCATAAAACCAGTGGCAGACAAAGTGGCGGCTATACAGCAACATTCTTTGCCAAAGACACTCAAACAATTACGAACCTTCCTGGGGCTCGCCATTTACTATTGACGTTTTATACCAGGATTCTCAGAAAAGGCGGCTCCCTTAACAGAATTAACCAAAGGTCATCAAAACCCAGTGCAATGGAACACAAAAGCACTCTGCGCCTTTGAGCAAGTAAAAATCACTCTGTGCCAACACCCAGTATTGTACACTCCAGATTTTCAGAAGATGTTTTACTTACAGACAGATGCCGCAGGAGTAGCACTGGGGACAATTCTCTTTCAAGAAGACAAGGGCGAGGAACGACCCATAGCTTTTGCCAGTAAAAAGTTAAACCCCGCAGAAACTCGCTACTCTACAATTGAGTGAGAATGTTTAGCTGTCTGGTGGGGAATAGAATTGTTTCATTATTATCTCCTCGGAAGGGAATTTGTGTTGATAACTGACCACGCACCCCTTCACTGGTTGAGGACAGCAAAGCTAGATAATGCTAGGCTAATGAGGTGGTCCCTGGCCTTACAACCCTTTTATTTTGCAGTAAGACATCGTGCAGGGAGACGGTGTGGGAACGTTGACTTTCCCTCTCGTCCAGACAGCAAACAAGGCTTACCTGTCAGAAGGTGAATGAAGATACCAGCTTTAGAAGAACTCATTCGTTTCTTGTCTGTTTCCTCCTTGTTGTTTTTTCTTTTTCTTGGTTGCAACGGAGGGCTGTTTCTGGACGAGGAAGACTACTGATCTTAGAGGGGAGGGGTGTATCAGGGACTCAGGCAGAAGCCCTGTTACTTAGAGTCAGGCAGGATTGACCCGACAATGAACTCTGCCAGGTGGCAGACATCACACACCCAGGAAAGGTGCAGGTGATTAGCCCACAAAAACCGGGGGATAAAAGACAGCAACGGGGCATTGATTTTTGCCTTCAGGCACCAGAAGAAAAAGAAGAAAACCACAGGGACTCCGGAAGGTGGAAGAAAGATCATACCTGTAATCTTGGAGGACGCTGGAAGAGACAGACTTCAAGAGAGGCAGCAGGTGAGTAAGAAAAAGGAAAATACTTCTTTGCAAACCCTGATGCATGGGTGAGTGCGGGAGCATTGTGGACTGCCAGGAGCCAGGTGCCTTAAGTTGAGGGGGAGAAAAGGAATCACCTCAGGGAAGACTTGCTGGCTTGGACAACTGCAGGACAGCCCTCTCACAGGTGAAAAGATAACTGGCTCAACAGCCACAAGCAAAGGGTAATTATAAATTAATCCATGTCAGAATGGCAGGAAGTTTCAAATGCAGTTCAACACGTTCATTAATGATTTGGATGCTTGCATAGAAAGCTTCTTGAGCAAGTTTGTACAAGACATGAAACTGGGAATGATTGCGAACACACTGGAGGATGCAAGAACAATTCAGAAGGATCTCAACAGATTGGAAAATTGGGCTATTGCTAACAGGATGAAGCTCAGTGTGGACAAATGCAAGGTGCTACACCTCAGGAGAAATAATCATAAACACAAATATAAAATAGGTGACACCTGGTTGGATGGCAGCGCTATGGAAAAAGACTTAGGAATCTTGGTAGATCAAAGACGTCTGCGGTGTGATACAGCAGCACAAAAGGCCAATGCAGTTTTGGGATTCATCAACAGAAACATTAGATGCAAGACATGGGAGGTGCTGGCAGCTCTCTATTCAGTGCTAGTGAAGCCTCATCTGGAGTAGTGTATGCAGTTCTGGGTTCCACATTTTATAAAGGACGTGGAGAAGTTAGAGTGTCCAGAGGCAAGCAACAAAGATGACAAAGGGCTTAGAAAGCAAGTCAGATGAGAGGCTGAAGTAGCTAGGCATGTTCAGCTTGCAGAAAAGACACTTAAGAGCAGATATGATAGCAGTCTTCAAATACCGAAAGAACTGCCATAAAGAAGAGGGAAAACTCCTTTTCTCTCTTGCTGCAGAGGATGATGCAGACCCATGGATTGAAATTGTAGCAAAGGAAGGTTAGATTGGATATCAGGAAAAACTTCTCTACTGTTAGAAGTAAGTGAGGCAAAGGAATAGATTGTGTAGGGAAGTTGTGGATTCTCCATCACTGGAGGTGCTGAAGAAGAGGTTGGACAGCCACTGATCAGGGATGATCTAGGCCAGAAGCAGGCAATTATTTGGGCCCAAGGGCCACATAGGGAGGGAGAAGAGCAGGAAGGGGAGGTGGGGCGAAGCCCTGTTGCAAGGCGGAGGCAGGCGGGGGGCGAAAGCCCCCGCACCGGAGGCTCAAGGAGGCGGTGGCAGAGGGAGTCTTTACATGGCCAGCCCCAAAGGGTGAACAGGGGGCATGGGGAGGCCATATAAACACTCCCTGAAATCCGTCATTCTTGATGGGCAATTAGCCAATAAGATAACAACAGTCCTCAACTTTCTACCACACCTCAGCCAAAAAAAAAAGCAAGAGTTAAAAGTATTGGCAGAGACCTGACACACTCATTACATGTAATAAGACTCAGAGAGCAAGCCAGAAAGCCAAGTGGAACTAGAAGTTATGAGATACAGGAACAAAGGGAGATGGTACAGTCTGTGTTACACAGATCTAGAGACTAGAATCAGAAATAGTCACTTGTGGCCTTATGATATAGCAGCTACCTACTTCCCCACTGACCTTGTATGGGATTTTAAGATGCACTCCACTCCTTAAATTAGCTATAAGAGGACTGATCAGAGACGAGGGGCACCCACTCCATGGCCACATCGTTGCTCCCAGTAAACTAATATCACGGAACATTTTCCTCTTTAGAACAACTAGATGAAACACTACCAGCAACACCAATAAAAAACTGTGGTGATCGCAGGAGGGAGTCAGGATGAACATCAAAAATGCTGAACATCTCCCTGCAGGCACAGTGTATGACTGGCCAACATGGAGAAGCTTGAGCTGTCTCTGAACACAGGACAGTAAGACTAGAATTAACATGCAACAACACAACCACCATGTATCAAAGTGAAGGAAGCTTTCAGAACATAGTAACACCTACTGGTCTGCCCACGTATGGGAGAACCATATACCAACAAGGACCCCACTAAGGCTACAGATAGGGACATAATATGTGCCTGCTTCTGGCCTCAAAATTGAACAGGATATGAAAAGATCACAGAATTAAATTGTTTATAATACTGAACTCAGCTTTCCTGGTATTTTCTACGCATTATGCTTACCAGCTGTGTCAGAACCTTGACATCAAAGGCTTGAATACTGGGTTGACTATTTCCCCTTGACTTTTTCTGAGAGAAGAAAAAAAATGATACATGAAACAGATGGAACATTTATTCAGATCTGCTACAGCAGTGTTCTTTGTGGCCATCATCCCTATGTCAGTGTCTTTTATACTGTAGGTTTAAATAATGTTTCTCAACCAGGGAGCAACAGCACCCAGGGGTGCCATGGGACCCTTAAGCATGATGTAGGATGCTGCATAATATTAGCATTATTTGGTGTGGAAACCTGTACCCATAACTGACAAGATTAACCCAAATATTTGAAATAGAAATGCAGTGTCAAAAAGAATCTAACTTGTTGCAGTTTTTTGTGGGTTTTTTTGCAACAGAAGGACTGCTCTATTATTTTCCTTTAATCAAAAAACAATCTATGGCACTCCTTGGAAAGTGTAAGGTCTTGAGTCTATCAAGGTTAAGAACCACTGTTTTAGAAAGCGATATGTAAAAAGACCATAAGGACATGTTTTAACAAAATATGCTAGGAGTTATTTGTTTGTTTTTCCCCCCTGCGGAGAAGGGGGGTGAACAACAAAATAGCAGATTTGATAGTAAAACAAAGTGCCATGTTTTCTCCCCCCCTCTTATAAGCATCTTACATGGGCTTCTTTATTTTAATAGAGTACAACAAAAATAAATGGCAATTTAAAGACAAAACCAAAAAACCCTATAGTATTCAGAATAGTTCTTATAGGGTAATTCTTCCCCCTAATATGTTCCATTTCTTCTCACTGCTAAGGACAATACTTTCTTTTATATATGGAACATGTCAGTAAGAACCAAAATGTTCTAAGGAAGGCCTTCCCCCCACCAAATTTACCGTGCAAAAATGTTTCGTATTTATAGCCAACCTGTAATTCATTTACACAGCACTCACTTGTCCTTCCAATAACTCTGCATCCTCTTCTTTAATTTGCCCATTGATCAGAAAAACACCTTCGTCTATCTGTTTTGCCCACCGAGTTAACCCATTCTTTAAAAAACAAGAGCATATAAAGTTTTTTCAGTATACATTTTGGGAAGAAAACTACAGTAAAAGCAAAGAAGACTGTTTAGTGTTGCCAAATTACAAGACTTAAAATGCCTGTAGAACATCTTTACCAGTCTTCAGACCTGTAAGCCACATTTTGTACAATAACAGACAACACGTTAATAAGCCTCAAGTCACATTTCCTAAACACTTCTGGCTTTATAAATGAAATTAATATCACCAAATAAAAAGTTATTTTTATAAGTATCTACATAGT